ATTTGACATGTGACCAACTATTTGGTTACATGTGCCCAACTGTTGAACTGTAACCTTAAAATTCGATAATTTGTGACCAACAAATTTGAAAATATGTGACTGATTGATAAATTGTTACCTATAATTTTTTTATTTGTGACCAATAAAATAAATTGTAACATTAAAATTCGATAATTTGTGACCAACAAATTTATAAATATGTGACTGATTGATAAATTGTGATCTATAATTTATTATTTGTGACCAATAAAATAAAATGTAACCTATGAAATTTTTGATTTGTGACCTCGAATTAATTTGTGAACAATTAATTTGATGATATATTATCAATAAATAAGTTGTGACTTATGATTATGTACTTGTAACCATTAATTGTATAATTATGATTTTATTGTATTTAATTAATAAATGAATACCTAATTTTTGTATTAATTAAACTTAAAACTTGATTTTTTGAATTGTGCATAGTTAATGCCTTAATTGTGAATTTTTCCCTTTCAAATTTTATATTCAAAATCCTTTTGGATATTCCATTCTGACCCTATTCAGAATTATGAAGACAGCCCCTCAAATTCTTCAAACTGCGGAAAAGGTCCTCTTTTATAATTTTGCAACTTCACTGAATAGAAATTGCAAGCAAGCCCCTATCCCCAATTCTCACCCAAAACCCTATAATCATTCAAGCGGCATCGCCTACAGCCTAGTGCCTTCAGCGTGTGTTACCACTGTAGTACAGCAGTAGCACATCGACAGCAGCGAGTTGTATGCAGCTACATAGCAGTCGTTGCTACAACAATGACAACGTCATTTCAACGTTACCGTCAGCTGGTGTTGTTATTTACATCGCCGCCTCACCACAAGCTGCGAAGCACTACCCATTACTTCGTCACACCTCTAATGCCAGAGCCAATTGCTGCTGTTAGCAGAGCCACAAGCCACCTGGTTCAGACCTTATTTTTTCACAAAATAAAAATTAATTTTCTTTTAAAATACAAATTTTTTAAATATGCAATTTTTTTTCTAAGTTGTTAGATTCAAAAAAATATAATAACAATCATTTGATTGTTCTAACAAGCAAAACAATTTCTAACAAACACAAATATGCTTTGATACCACTGTTTGGAAGTTACTTAACATGCATAGAGGAATTTAAACAATATTTCAATTCTCATCAAAAGTATGCTTTGTGTGAAAGAAAGTGCGATAAAAATTATATATTTAGTTAATTTTATGAAGAACAATTCTGATCTACAATTTACAATTGTCCAATTGTCCAGTCTCCAATGAAAATCCACACAGAAAACAAGAATTAGAAAATTAGGATTTATTTTTTCTTGTACTAGCAAGATAATGAGTTGTCTCGTTCCATTTCTTGAACATTAACAGCTTATTAATAGAAGTTCAGTAGACTTGGCCCAACACTTCAACTTAACTCGGTTCAATGCTTAATTAATCTAATTAATTAAATATGGACCATTAAGTAATCTAATAAGGGAAAAATTCATAAATAAGGTGTATACTTTACACCAATTCAAAAATCAAGTTTTTTGTTTGAAAATTCAAAAATCAGGTAGTCTATTTCAAAAATAAGAACACAAGTTTAAAGTTACCAAAATCAGATTTTTTTTTAAATTTTTATTTATGAAATAATAAATTATTAAATTAATTTATTATTAAATATTTAATTATAATATAATATAATTAACACATCCCATATGCACCACTCATACCTCTTCAAGGACTATTTTGGGTACTATTCCGACCACCACTCTTCTTCGGCGACCGTTCAGATGATTGCTCTGATTCCAGCAACTATTCCGGTGACCATTCTAGTCACAGATTTACAATTTAATGTCGCAGCTCAAAAATTTTGTAGGTCACAGATTTTTCAAGATTTTTATGTCACACAGTCATAGATTTTCAAATTAATTATAGGTCACAGGTCACATATTTTAAAATTAATTGGTTACAGATTATTTCGAGATTACGTCACATATTATTTCTTGGTCACAGATTTTTAAATTAGTTGGTCACAGATTATTTTTGAGACATATATTATTAAATCTTTAGGTCACAGTTGAGTACGTTTTCAACCACCCTGTCCAACACTACCAGCACGGCCACTACAGCCACTTGCAACCACCCTCACCCGCCACCACCGCCATAGCACTACAACACTACCAACAACAAAGTCACTACCAACAAATTAATGCACCACCACCTAGATCAACTACACCACCATCACCATCTCGACCCCACCGTTACACCACCACCAACATAAATGTACCACCGTCGCCATAGGAAACACACAACCACCACAAAATCACTCCAAAAAACCCAAGCTCCCTCCCTAAATTTTCTCTGCTGCAGGCAACCAAAAAACACCAGATCCCTCCCTCCCCAGATTTTTCTGCATCGGTGAGTTTGAAGTTGCCTTGCAACACCGCTGTAGTAGCAAATGAACAGATGAAGCAGCCTGTAGTAGCAAGTGTCGCAACAAGCTGCTAGTACAGAGTTCATTCGCTTACAGTGCCGCTACTATAGCGGCGTCATCTTCTAGTGGCACCTTCTCGTAGTGGGCTACTAGCGTCGCGCGCAGCGACATCGCAGTGCTCGGTGACATCTTCCGGTAGCTCCTTTCGTAGCGACGACATAGCACAGCAGCACACATCACCGATTGTGACGGCGCAACATAGCAGCAACGACGCCACTGCTCGATACTCACATCAAAGGGGGCCTCATAACGGCATTCGGAGGTATCTCCGGTGACGGGAGCTCCTCAATGGCGAAGCCGATCTGAGGGAGAGGGTAGAGAGAGCGTGAGAGTGAGACGAGATGTGAAGAGGAGAAAATGGATAGGATGGAAGAAAAATGATTTAGGGTTTGTATGAGATTAGTTAGGTGGGTTTAATATTTAATTTTTAATTCAATACCTGATTTTTTATTAAAAAAAAATTTATCACCTAATTTTTATACTTTGAAGTTGAAATAACTAGAATTATGTAATTTCCATAAACTCTAAATTGCAGTTCAAACTATTAAAAATCGCTCAGATAAAATCATGTACCCTACTAAACTATAGAGGAAATTACACCTACATCTGGAATTAGATTTCTAATTTCATAAATAAGATCATAAGTATAACATTTCAAAAATCAGGTTTTAATTAAAAATTTAAAAACATTTTTTTATTTTTATATAAATTATATCTAATCAAACCTTAATATAATAGGAAGAAACCACTCGCCTCTCTCCCATTTATACCCTCTCTCACAGTCTCTCCACCCTCTGCACCCATCGTGGCCTCCACCCATCGCCGCCTGTCCACCCATCACTGCCTCCACCCAATGCCACCTCAACCCCTCTCTCTCTCTCGGCTTTCGAGGCAGACCCATTTCTGCACTCTCTCACGGTCTCTCTGCGCTAATGGCCGCCTCCACCCATCACCGTCTCTCCACTCTTTTTCGCCGCTCGTGATGGACTGACGTTATTAACAGGTGGTGGAAGAGCGTGCTTGCAGTGGTGGTGCGTCCTGCAGATCCGTGTTTGTGCGTGCGTGCAGATCCTCTTTTTTTCCTGTTCTGGTCGTTTGTAATTTCCTGTGTAAGTGCACTACTGCTGAGGTATACGTTGTGCTAGTTGAGGTATGAGAGATTTAAGGCCAATTTTTGTTGTTGGCTATGGCGGATCTAGTGGCGGTTTTTGTTATTGTTCCGTGTTTTGGTGTAGTTGATTTTTTGGGATAGTCGAAATCGTCCACTGATAATTTCCATTTTGGTGCTGAGTCTCTGGCTGTTGTTGTTGCTGGTAGTGGCGTCAGTGATTCTTTGTTTTTGTGGTGTTGGTAGTGGCGTCAGTGGTCCATTTGGTGTAGTTTGGCTACTGGGCGACGATGGTGGTCGTGCCACTAATGGAGGCAGTGGCGAAGTGGGGTCACAAATGATTTGGGGTGGTCACAAATGATTAGGTTGTTTGTGACCAAGAATTTGGGTAGTTTGTGACTAGTAAACAATATGAGATGAGTTGAGCGTGGGTGCGTGGGTGCGTGGGTGTCTGTCTTGAAATTGTGACTGTGACTTATTGTAGTAGAGTTGTGACCAACAAAAATTTTGATTTTTTCAATCTGTGACCTATAAAAAAATTTAATTCGTAGTGGAGAAATAATCTGTGACCATAAAATTCGGTGGTCACAAATGTAAAATTCGGTGGTCACAATATAAATTTTGTGACATGACCGATGAATAACTTGTGTCGTTTAATTTTTTAAGTTGTGACCGATCAACAAATTATGACCTATGAAAATTTTGAATTGTCACGTAAAAATTTCGTCAGAGTTGGAACAAATGCCGGAATCGGAGAAGTCGCTGGAATAAAGCGGCGACGGAACGGTCATCGGAATATTCGTTGGAATCGGAGTAGTAAATACCTGATTTTAAAAAACCTGATTTTTGAAATTTGAAACTTGTTTCTGTATTTTTAAAATGGGTAAAAGTAAATACCTGATTTATGTATTGTCCCCTAAACTATATACATGTATTGAGCTGCAGATTTTGAACGAGGCCCAACAGATGTACTGGGCCAGGTCTGGAATGTGTCGAACGGGTGAACTGCTCGGTCCAAGAAGCTTTTTTATATGCAGAATATGGTACGTTATGCAGAATAAAACTAAACTCGACATTATACAAATATGTCGTATACCTCTCGTGTTTAGACACACTCAATTCATCGAACTAAGAAGTTAAATTTTAAAACCTACCAAATTACTCATAGAAACCCCAAAAAAGAACATATAAAAATCAAATTTTCATTTCTGCAATAATTAAAATGAGCAGAACTTTAGGGGAACCATTAGTCCCATAATCCGATACCTTAATGTATGCATGTACAGAGAAAAAGAAAGACGTCAGAATATACAATAACCTCAAACATCGTCAAATGAAGATGTGGGTTTTTAAGATTCTTTACAACATATGAATAATTCTATGAACTTATTTTCAGAATCAGATGTAAGGATTAATGTGAGATGAATAGTCCCTAATCCCAGCTCCTTCCCATCCCATCCATTCTTCCCATAGATCCAAATCTTGCTCATTAATCCCTCTCATCGATTCATCAGTCCCGGTATCATACTCCTCATACATCGTCATCATCTCTGATCTGCTCGATTCCTCTCGTAAGTTGCTCATCACCCTCTGCACCATAACATCAAAAAGGTGTTTTTAGACACAACATTTGAGTTTATATACAAGTCGACTGTGATATTTATTTTGCATATTGACCTCAAACCGAAAAAGATGAAACGAAAAAGAAAGAAGTTTGATTGTGTATTAGTCAATGAAAGCATCAATAGCTTCTTTGTTTGAAATTTGAGCAACATTTAATTGAAGTTATGAACTAATACAAAAGATCTTGATCCCCCAACTTTGATTCTTTCTTAGAGAACAAGCAACTCGAAGATGGGGACGGGATGCCCAGCCCCAACTCGAAGGGCTGCCACGAGTGAACATAAGTAGCCATGCCCGTGGCCAGTGCGAACAAAATTCCAGGGGCTTAACAGGTCATACCAAGCCTGATGATGGGGCCTGCCTAGAAATGTGGGGGAGCCTTAGGGCAGGTGGGAGAGTAGGAGAGTGAAAATGACTTGTCAACTAAATACTCACTAATAATCAATAATTAAGAGATGACAAAACAACTAGAATTATAAGCTTAGGTAAACACCAATCATAGTATAAAAAAGTCTAAACAGATCGCATCATAATTGTCTATTAGTTTATAATAATAAAATATATAGAGTTCAAGTTAATAAATTAATTTTTTATCTAAAATTTACAGAAATCTAAATGAAAAATTAGCATTGCTTACATCATATGCTTCATTAATTTGGTGAAATTGGATCCCACAATTGCTTCCTCTACACACATCTGGATGATACTGAAATCAAATTAAAACAAATTAGATCGATAAAAATGCCCTAATACTTGTAAATTCAAACTTAAGTAAAATAAATAATCACCAGAAAACGAAAGAAATATGAACCAAATCAAGAAAATATTTAGGACACATATTACAAATCTCAAATA